AGCCATAGTCAGCTTGTGACCAGTGATGTGAGCTTGTGCAAGTCAGGTCACCTTTCTGTGCCTCAGTTTCTCCATTTGTAAAATGGGGATATTCCCCTTCCTTTGTGAAGCTCTTTGAGGTCTATGGGTGAAAAGCCTTGGAGACAGGGCTGGCTCTACCTTTTTTGCCACCCCAAGCAGCAAAGCAAAAAGAAAAGCGGCCGCCGAAGAAGAAAATATGAAAAAGCTGCCGCCGGCGTGCCGCCGAGGGAGGCGTGCCCCGCCCCGAGAACGGCCGGTGTGCCGCCAAGGGAGGCGTGCCCCGCCCTGAGAACGGCCAGCGTGCCGCCCCTTCTGATTTCCTTTGCTGGTGCCGAGGGCCGGCCCTGCTTGGAGAAGAACTAAACGAAGCTGGTATTTACATCTGGATGGGCCCACATTCCTGCAGGCTGAGGTGGGGCCCTGTTTGAGTTTTGTCATGAAATGTAGGCAGAAGGCAAAGCAAGGGGAGACTGTCTATTGGGGAGCAGAGACCAGGGTTCCCACCTCTGAGATACAAAAACTGGGCACATCTGGGATGATCCTGAGCTCCTAAAACTTGCCCACTGGCTGTATGCACTGAGCACCCTGGCAGATTTACCAGGATGGCACCTCAAGAAAAGGATGATCCTGGAAAAATCCAGACAGGTGGCAACCCTCGCAAAGACGACTGCTCCTCCCCACCAAGGACCCCAGCAAGGGCTGGTTTCTACCGAGCTGCTGCCCAGAGCTGGAGTCACCCTACAGTTAGCTAAATTCAGAGGGAAAGTGTATGTTAGTGCAATTTCCACTTTCTTCCAGCGCTCTCAGGCATCAAGAATCTTTTTACACTTATTCTGACACCCTTATTTAGACTCCTCTCCACCCACCAACGCGTATCTTGCAGGGCTCGTGCAGGTTGTCCTAATACATATGGAACCCCAGAACTTCTTAAGCAAGAGGCATTTACTGGAGAGAACAGAGAGAAGCTATAAACCCAATGACTTCTCTGTTTTTGTCTCTGGCCAGACACAGCTCCCCTTCCTGGAACTTTCAATACAGCACAGAGACACCTGGTGGCAGCGTGGCATAAGTGCAAGCAAAGATCATCACACAAGTCACTACAGAGTTTGGCCCCTCTGCATTATATGTTGGGGTATTTTACACACCGAAGAGCTGGAGGAAGGAGTCTAAAATGAAGCGACACACCTGGGGCCAGAACAAATGAGTGCAGCAAGAACAGCAGCTTATAACTGGATGGAGAAAGGCAAAAATTAATGTAGCCCCCAGATTAATTTAATTTACATCTTTTACCCTGTACCGATGGTACTTTTATAGCCCCTATTACCATAGTACCTGAGCACTTCACAACCTGTAATGCACCTATCCTCACCACACCTTGTGAGGTAGGGAAGTTCGATCACCCACATTTTACAGACTGGGAACTGAGGAGAGATCCTCACTGTAACCAATGGGAGTTAGGCACCTCAACACCTTTCAGGGTGTGGGTCAGAGAGGGTGTGTCCACACTGCAATGAAACACCCACAACTGGCCCAGGTCAGCTGACTCAGGCTCATGGAGCTATAAAATTGCTGTATAGTCATTCGGGCTGGAGCCTGGGCTCTGGGATCCTCCACCCTCATGGGGTCCCAGAGCCCAGGTTCCAGCCTGAGCCCAAAGGTCTACATTGCAATTTTGTACCCCTGCAACGTCAGCCCCAGGCAACTGTGGGTGTTACATTGCAGTATAGACACACCCTGAGACTAAATGAGCTGCCCCAAGGACACCCAAGGAGTCTGTAGCACTGCAGGGACTGGAACATAAAGCTCCTGAGTACTAAACTGACACCTAAGGGCAAACGCGTAGCTGAAATGAGACACCCTTATGTATCAGTAAGTGGGTGTATATAGCGCTAAGGGTCTCTACATGAGAATTCTTAGATCTGAAGGCCAGAAGGGGCCATGTCATCTGACCTTCTGTATAACACACAGGCTAACATGCACTTCCTTCTCCACTTTTGCCCCAGGATTTGAACCAGAAGCCAAGACCATCCCCTAGACCAATAGGCTGGCTATAAAGGGAGCTAAGTCACACCTCCTCACGTGTCTCCTCTGACGCACTAATGGTTCCTGCCATTTACTGCACTTGCTCTCTGGTACGATCGACGCCTGCGCTGTATTTCGGGAAAGTATGTATGGCTGAAGCCTGGCTAAATCAAGCTTTGAGGGCTCCCAGCTCTGCTTGGGAGTGCAAAGCATGGGGTGGGTGCAAGCAGCTTCCCCCAGCATTCGTGCATCTGCACAGAGGGCTGGGCACAACTCTGCTCCTGGTGCTCCCACTGTGTGAGGAGAGAAGGAGTCTGGCACTGCCCGTGCTGCAAGGCCCTGCCCTCTTCCCACCCAACCAGCCAGAGGAGCGAAGCCAGAGCAGGAAGGGGTATTGTTAACGGATGTAACAGTAGGTGAGGTCCCCAGTGCACCCCCGATCCTGACCCTGCAGGCTGCCCTAATTTGTTCCCGTCTGCCCAAAGCCCATGTGGGAGTCAGGGAAATGCAGGGACATGCAGGACTGCCAACCCCAGCCATTCAAAATTCATAAGTAAGGCCCCCCAAAACGAGAGAGGCTTAAAAATAATGAGATTTAAAAATAATGATAACTGTTGGGTTCTTTGTCTCCTGCTCCGCTAAGTCCCACTTGGGTCATGTTTTCCAGCTTTGCTCTGCAACCAAGAAGCCTGGAATCTTTCTTTGGTTTTTAAAATGAAAGCGGAGATTCTACTAAAATCACATGACTCCAAGAGCTGGAGGTTTGAGAAAAACACCAAATATTGTGAGACTGACAATAAAACCATGAGAGTTGGCCACTCTGCAGGGCTACACTGGCCATGTCCCCTCCCAGACCCCAGGCACCTCTGACATGCCCTGGAAAGGCCTTGGCTGCTGCAGAGATCCCCATGCTGGAGGTGTTTTCTGTGGGCAAGGGACTGGGCATATGGCTGATTTACGCCCAGATTATTCTGGCGCAGGTAGGGTGGCCAGGAGCCTGGTTTTCAACCGGAAAGTCTGATCAAGACCTGACAGCAGGCCCTCTTAGAGGCCAGAGAGGCCCAGGCTGCTTCCAGATTTTGAGGTCCCTAGCCATAACAAAAATAAAAAATGATGACACATGAAAACAAAATAAGGCACCAAAAAAAGAGTGAAACATAATTTGAATATTTTTTTAGTTAACAAATGCTTTTCTAGCCTTTTTCTGTGCAAATGCACTAATTATTGAGGAAAAATCTAGCTTTCGTGCAATGTCACAGTTGATACGAAGCATGGTGAGACCGTTCAAACGCTCTTGTCCCATAGTAGAACAGTGATAGTTCTTTACCTGCTTCAACACATTGAAGGTGCGTTCACCTGAAGCCAATGTTGCAGGCAAACTGACAAAAATACGCAATGCAATTGTAATATTAGGAAACACCCCGGAGTGTCCAAGTTCGAATTCTCACACATAAATAATTCCTTAGTCAACTACATGTAAAACTGTAAAGACACTAAAATGCAACAATTCTCTACTTTTCAACACTCATTTGACCCAGCACCAGCCACTAGTAGTGGTTTGTTTATATAATCAGCTGGTCTGAGAGGACACATTCATCACGGTCTAATCTTTTGTCATCAGAACCAATATATTTTTATTAATATTTATGAACATTTTAAACTCTTTAATATGACAAAATCTAGATCAGTTAACAAAAAAAGTATGTCTTTTACCAAATCACATCTCTTATTTGCTTAAATTTGCAGCTCTAAGCTGAGAGCATGTGTCACATTTTGGTCCGATAGGGATGCTCATAAAAACAAGTTGCGAAACTTATCAAATGTCAAAACATTAACAAGTGTCTAAATTTGAGGCCCCCTTTGAGCGTGAGGCCCAAGCTAAATGGCCCTCCTGGCCCCCCCTCTGATTGGCCCTGCCTGACAGTGTCTGGTCAGATCTATTGACCGGAAACACAAGTCCAGTTACTGAGGTCGGGGGAGGTGGGAAGGCCCCAAGTCAGCATCCACACCAGCCCCTACTTAGCAAGGGCTGCCTCCTACCTGCTTTGGGAAGCTGCAGCTCCCAGCCCCGGCTCTGCAGATGGGTCCCTCCTGACCCAGGTGGGGGGATGGAAGGGGAAAAACAGTGAGTGACAGAGTGAAGGTGAGAAGAGGCATAGATGGGGGCGGGTCCTCAGGGGAAGAGGTAGGGCAGGGCTTTGGGGGGAAAAGGCGGGGAAGGGGAAGTTCCGGCACTCCTGCTGGAGTGTCTGTTTTTTAAATATTACCAAGTTGGCAACCCTAGGGTGACCTAGGGCAGCCATGAATTGGGCCCATTTTTCTTGCGCTGATGATAGACAATCACCTTCTCACCCTCTCTGCCAGCCATGGCCCAAAGCCACAAGATTGCCCTAAAGCCCACATGCCATTATGGCACTTGCATACTGAGGGTAGGGTTCATGTAGAGGGTGATGACTTATCATATACCCAGCACTGGGCACCTGGGTGCACTGTGCTGTACATGGGTTAGGTCAATTACAAAACTACCATGGTGAGGCTTAGAGAATCACATTTTCAAGGATGATCACAATGCATAAATCATTTGCAAGATGGCTACTTGTGTGTGTGTGTGAATGCTCCTCCGATTTCCATGAAAAATGTCTGGGCACCTGCAGGGTTGGTGGAATGGATGCTTTGTTGTTGATGTTGTTGTCTTTACTCTGGACCCTGCAATAATAGATTTTCTTTTAAGGGGAATTTGCTGACATTTTCATAGTTTGGGCCAAGGTTTGCAAATGTGGGGGCCTCAAATTAGTCTCCTAAATCCTTATTTAATCACTTAAAGGCAATATTTAGACATCAGCTGCTTTCAACATGATTTTGTTTTCTCTTGCATTTGGAAATCTCAGAGACCTCATGTGACTCTGGAGATGACTTGACACATTTATAGACCAGGAAGGAAGTTGAGCAACAAGATGTTACATTGCATTGCTTGGTCTCTCTAGTGCAGCTGCCTCGGATTCAGCAGCTGGAGCTCCACAACAGACGAAAGGGATCAAAAATGTCCCCCCAGACGCCCCCGAAATGTTGCTGTTTCAACATTAAGACTGGAACAGTCACTCTTGGCATCTACCACGTGGTAAGTTACGAAATACAAGGACAGATAGGAAAGCTATAAACTGGGAAATCAAACAGTTCCCAAAGTGTTGACTTTTCTGTGTTCCTGAAAGATGGGGGGAGGCCTATGATTTAAGAGCAATGGACAAGAGAGGGGAAAAAAGAAACCTACTGTGCTGATAGTTTTCTGAACTAGGTTCTTCTGCCAGAGCTGATGGAAATTCACCACACTTCCTGTTTTTCCTCTGCTGCTCGAGTATGAGCCTTTGCACTTGCAGTCGGCGCTGTGAATCCTACAAGCTTTCAGTGTAGACAGGCGGATCCATTGGTTGCAAATTGTACAGTGAGATGACAATACAAAGGGTTGTGTAAAAGTTAAGGTTAGGAATCTATAGTGGGGTGTGGGCATGCGTGTGTGTATGGATCAGAGCTATAAACAGTACCTAGGTAAAATTGTGAATGTCTTTAATTTCTCTAACAGCTTTTAGACATTGTACCCGGTTCTCAGTTGGTTTCTCTTTGAATCTTATGTCTCTGTTAAGTTGCCGTGGCTGTCCTGGGAGGATTAGCGCTGTGTGTGTGTGCGGGGGGGGGGGGGGAATAGGGTGTGGCTGGGGGGGGGTCTCTGCTGTTGTAAGTGCTGCTTGGTGACATAGTTAGAGTAGCTTTCTGGTGAGTAAAAAGAAAAGGAGTACTTGTGGCACCTTAGAGACTAACCAATTTATTTGAGCATGAGCTTTCGTGAGCTACAGCTCACTTCATCGGATGTATACCGTGGAAACTGCACCAGACTTTATATACACACAGAGAATATGAAACAATACCTCCTCCCACCCCACTGTCCTGCTGGTAATAGCTTATCTAAAGTGATCAACAGGTGGGCCATTTCCAGCACAAATCCAGGTTTTCTCACCCTCCACCCCCCCACACAAATTCACTCTCCTGCTGGTGCTAGCCCATCCAAAGTGACAACTCTTTACATAATCGAGTCGGGCTATTTCCTGCATAGATCCAGGTTTTCTCACATCCCCCCACCCCCATACACACACAAACTCACTCTCCTGCTGGTAATAGCTCATCTAAACTGACCACTCTCCAAGTTTAAATCCAAGTTAAACCAGAACATCGGGGGGGGGGGTAGGAAAAAACAAGAGGAAACAGGCTACCTTGCATAATGACTTAGCCACTCCCAGTCTCTATTTAAGCCTAAATTAATAGTATCCAATTTGCAAATGAATTCCAATTCAGCAGTTTCTCGCTGGAGTCTGGATTTGAAGTTTTTTTGTTTTAAGATAGCGACCTTCATGTCTGTGATTGCGTGACCAGAGAGATTGAAGTGTTCTCCGACTGGTTTATGAATGTTATAATTCTTGACATCTGATTTGTGTCCATTTATTCTTTTACGTAGAGACTGTCCAGTTTGACCAATGTACATGGCAGAGGGGCATTGCTGGCACATGATGGCATATATCACATTGGTGGATGTGCAGGTGAACGAGCCTCTGATAGTGTGGCTGATGTTATTAGGCCCTGTGATGGTGTCCCCTGAATAGATATGTGGGCACAATTGGCAACGGGCTTTGTTGCAAGGATAAGTTCCTGGGTTAGTGGTTCTGTTGTGTGGTATGTGGTTGTTGGTGAGTATTTGCTTCAGGTTGCGGGGCTGTCTGTAGGCAAGACTTGTGAGAGTGTTGGGTCATCCTTTAGGATAGGTTGTAGATCCTTAATAATGCGTTGGAGGGGTTTTAGTTGGGGGCTGAAGGTGACCGCTAGTGGCGTTCTGTTATTTTCTTTGTTAGGCCTGTCCTGTAGTAGGTAACTTCTGGGAACTCTTCTGGCTCTATCAATCTGTTTCTTTACTTCTGCAGGTGGGTATTGTAGTTGTAAGAAAGCTTGACAGAGATCTTGTAGGTGTTTGTCTCTGTCTGAGGGGTTGGAGCAAATGCGGTTGTATCGCAGAGCTTGGCTGTAGACGATGGATCGTGTGGTGTGGTCAGGGTGAAAGCTGGAGGCATGCAGGTAGGAATAGCGGTCAGTAGGTTTCCGGTATAGGGTGGTGTTTATGTGGCCATTGTTTATTAGCACTGTAGTGTCCAGGAAGTGGATCTCTTGTGTGGACTGGACCAGGCTGAGGTTGGTGGTGGGATGGAAATTGTTGAAATCATGGTGGAATTCCTCAAGGGCTTCTTTTCCATGGGTCCAGATGATGAAGATGTCATCAATATAGCGCAAGTAGAGTAGGGGCTTTAGGGGACGAGAGCTGAGGAAGCGTTGTTCTAAATCAGCCATAAAAATGTTGGCATACTGTGGGGCCATGCGGGTACCCATAGCAGTGCCGCTGATCTGAAGGTATACATTGTCCCCAAATGTGAAATAGTTATGGGTAAGGACAAAGTCACAAAGTTCAGCCACCAGGTTAGCCGTGACATTATCGGGGATAGTGTTCTTGACGGCTTGTAGTCCATCTTTGTGTGGAATGTTGGTGTAGAGGGCTTCTACATCCATAGTAGCCAGGATGGTGTTATCAGGAAGATCACCGATGGACTGAAGTTTCCTCAGGAAGTCAGTGGTGTCTCGAAGGTAGCTGGGAGTGCTGGTAGCGTAGGGCCTGAGGAGGGAGTCTACATAGCCAGACAATCCTGCTGTCAGGGTGCCAATGCCTGAGATGATGGGGCACCCAGGATTTCCAGGTTTATGGATCTTGGGTAGTAGATAGAATATCCCAGGTCGGGGTTCCAGGGGTGTGTCTGTGCGGATTTGATCTTGTGCTTTTTCAGGAAGTTTCTTGAGCAAATGCTGTAGTTGCTTTTGGTAACTCTCAGTGGGATCATAGGGTAATGGCTTGTAGAAACTTATGCTGAGGTTATGACACATTGCATAGTCAGCCCAGGATTGGGGGAGTACAAAAATGGCTTCAAATCACCTCTCCAGTTGCCCTGCACACCTTTTGAGCACAACCAAGGGCCTCGAGAGGTCGCCCGGTTGGCAGCGGGACACTGTGGGTTTTAGGCCACTTGTTGCACTGGGAAGGGGTGGGGTGGTTGCGCTGCAGTGGGTGTCCCGGTTCCTCTGCCGGAGAGGGGGTGTCGCCATCCATTGGCAGGGTGCAGCATGCCGGAACAGCACTCCTCCATGGTGCTGATGGGTGCGCCGCCCGCGAGCACTGCATCGGTTGGCTGGCTTGCCAGACTCCCCAGTGCTCTGCAGCTGCGTCACCCCTCCCAGCACAAAGCCACAGCTTAAAAGCAACACACAGGTCCGCAGTTTTCAGGTCCACAGTGTATCTATGGAGTCATCCCAGTATAGGGCTAGATGTTCAGTTGGTGTAAATTGGTGTTGCTCCATTGATTTCAGGGGAACCATGCTGAATTGCACCCACTGAGATTTGGCCCACGTTTAATGGGAAGTCACTGTGGAAGCTTGAATTGTCCCAGTCACTAAGATTCCATTTATAGGCAGATTATAAAGGGTTAATACGTGAGCAACAGATTTTATAAGCATGCTACAAACAGGAGTGGTGTGTGTTATTGATGGTTATAAGCTCATCAATAGAAGGTGACGTTGATGGTTATAAGCAACCTATTGAGCTGTCGGATTCTGTAGCAGCATTGCCAAAGCCAAGTGCTCACAGATGATGCAGATGATGCCCCAAAATACCCTGAGACTAGTTTAAAAATCCTGAGATTTTAAAACATCAGTTTCTTTGCATTCGGGTTGTTGGGCCTTTAGGGTACAGGCCCATCACGCTTTTCGGCTTTTCTCCGCTATTATGAGGGTGCTTAAAAAAAAAAGAAAAGAAAAAGATGAGATTGATATAATCCATGAATTCAGGAGATATCAAAATTTTTGTGAACATTTTCCCCTTTTCCAACAGGTCAGTGAACATAGAGTCTTATCCTAATGACAGGTTTCAGAGGAACAGCCGTGTTAGTCTGTATTCGCAAAAAGAAAAGGAGTACTTGTGGCACCTTAGAGACTAACCAATTTATTTGAGCATGAGCTTTCGTGATGAAGTGAGCTGTAGCTCACGAAAGCTCATGCTCAAATAAATTGGTTAGTCTCTAAGGTGCCACAAGTACTCCTTTTCTTATCCTAATGCAACTGAAGCCAATGGGAAGATTCCATTGGGATTTCAGTCAAGCCCAAGGTCATTTCAGGGGACATTTTAGGATTATAATTAAGTCCATATTTATTTGCTTGTTTGTAAAGCTGTGATCAGTGGTCCTGATGGTGGGCAGAAAACAGTAATTGTGGCACAGCGCTGTGGTCACCTGGAAAAATGTAATACTGGGGGAGGCAGCGTGGCCTAGTGGATGGAGTACTGGCCTGGCACTCAGGACACCTGGTTTGTAGTCCCGGCTCTGCCACTGGCCTGCTGGGTGACTTTGAGCAAGTAACTTTGCCATCCTGTTTCTCAGTTTCCCCATCTGTAAAGCAGGGATAATGATAGTGACCTCATAGAATCATAGAATATCAGGGTTGGAAGGGACCCCAGAAGGTCATCTAGTCCAACCCCCTGCTCGAAGCAGGACCAATTCCCAGTTAAATCATCCCAGCCAGGGCTTTGTCAAGCCTGACCTTAAAAACCTCTAAGGAAGGAGATTCTACCACCTCCCTAGGTAACGCATCCCAGTGTTTCACCACCCTCATAGTGAAAAAGTTTTTCCTAATATCCAATCTAAACCTCCCCCCCTGCAACTTGAGACCATTACTCCTCGTTCTGTCATCTGCTACCATTGAGAACAGTCTAGAGCCATCCTCTTTGGAACCCCCTTTCAGGTAGTTGAAAGCAGCTATCAAATCCCCCCTCATTCTTCTCTTCTGCAGACTAAACAATCCCAGCTCCCTCAGCCTCTCCTCATAAGTCATGTGTTCTAGACCCCTAATCATTTTTGTTGCCCTTCGCTGGACTCTCTCCAATTTATCCACATCCTTCTTGTAGTGTGGGGCCCAAAACTGGACACAGTACTCCAGATGAGGCCTCACCAATGTCGAATAGAGGGGAATCCTCTATTCGACATC